GCACAACTTTGGCCATTAACAACTTGTGCTCATTTTACGTAGTAAGTATGAGCCTCTTCAATGCTCGTGCAGTTCACGCGAAAATTCAAAAATATCAACTAGGGTTCTTAGACCACTAAAGTTTTATATAGAAAATGTTTATATTGTGAAAACGACGGCTCCTTTATCTTTCTTATATATTAAGTTGCCGAGTAGTTTGTGTGGTTTTCTCGATCAAAATTTCTTAGATAATTGGAAGATTTGGCAATAAGATATATTTCATTTTAAAGAATAAGTGTATAAGACGGTGTACTGAAGTATTTAGTGACTTCGGTTGTGTTAAATTAGATGTAAAATTAAAACTGAGTTGACCAAAAAGCTCAATCGGCACCTAAATTTTTTGAAATCATATCCATTCCCCATAATAGGGCTTAGTGTAAGATCACGGTTGCTGTATGTAATAGAGATCAAAATCACGGATTTTAATGTGGTCTAGTCAATATGAGACACTGATAATAAAGATCTTTCCCAAATCGCACAGTACGCCCTCGCTACGGAATTAGGGTGGGTACACGGGAAAGTGTAATATGGCTTTACCACAGAGAGCGGATATGATCTTTGTAACTAAACTCGCTAGACCATCCAGGCAAATCAGTGAATTTGAATCTGCAGCGTATACCTATCGTAGTCCTACAGTAGGGCCTGTTGTGGGGAGCGACTATGATTTCAGTAATCAACATAGCCAATGACCGCACTAGACAGTGCGGTCATTGGCTATGTTGCTGTGATTTCGGAGGTCCTTATAATCCAATGAAACTAAGATGTCGGTTGAGGTTTGGTTTGTGGAAATACATTGCCAGCCATTTTCAACGAAACCTAAATTATTGGGAGAGTGAGGGTTTGTTTGATATGCCAAAACATCGCTATTTCAGAACAATTTTGATTTGAGTAAAAACGGCACAAACTTAGCCAACCAATATTTGTTTCTATTTGTCGTTAATGTTCTAACGAATGTTGCAGCAGTTGTTCTTCAGATTGCTTATCAGTTAGTCAGTTTGCTACTAAAGAATAAGGACAGTGGCAGGTATAGAACATTAGTAAGCTGCCAAGAAAGTGTTGCGAAGAGCTACCGCGCGCAATATAAAGGCTTACTCAGAACAGAACATGAAATGATTTTTTTTG